ACATATATATAATCACTTTTACATAGATTGTAAATATGCTGGTTACTTCAGGGACTTTTACATACTTTTTCTACCTGCTTATTGATTGTGATAACCATGAGGGAAAAACCTATCAACCAACTCGTATCATGGGAGGTGAAAAATTGAGGGGATTGGGGGGTACTGAACGTAAAGCTTTCCAGTTGCTGACTCGAATAGAAACCACGTTGGTCTCAGATGGGTCATGGCAAGCAGAACATGATAACATCAGTCATTTGTTGTTGCGGATATGCCTGAAACTGTACGGTCATCAATGCCTTGAAATGTCATGACCTAAGATGAGACTGGCGGATACCGTTACATATCAAAACCATATCATATCATATTTATTAATGTTATTTGATGATATATGATGGTATATTTTCGCATGTATCCATATGTATATCATTGTGTATCAATAAGGACTGAACATGGCACGGACCAAAGTTCATATCAGAAACCATGTCTCTTTCAAGCGTGGGACCACCAACGACCAGCCACGGGTGAATCAAAACAGCGACGATGCAGTCGGGTCGATGGCAATGGGGGACACGGGGACACCCGAATTCCACAGGATTCTCATCACCTACCATCTATCGTGAACAAGAATATATAGGGTATATACGGTATACAGTCAGTATACAGTACCAGGATGTAGCGGGTATACCAGGATGTATACATGGCATATACATGGCATACCTCGATATATCGATGTCTTTTTCCAACGATGTCTGGAGCTTCGCCGAGAGATCGAGAGTATGTTGTGTGATGGCCGGGTAAAATCATCGATGAACCGGGCCGTTCGTTTGGCTCCAAAAACGGGCCAGCATTAGGGTACCAGACCAGCGGCTCCATTTCTGGACATTGTTTTCCGTAATTCTCAGAACATATAGATTATGTTGGATAGATTATGTTTGGTTTGAGTATTTTAAACATATCCGGACAATGTCCAATAGTTTGGGATCAATCGTTTTGAGATTCGCATGGGTCTAACTTTGACCTGGCACTGAACCTTGTTGCCAATGGTAGCTGTGTAGACACTGGACTTGTGGGACGATTGTGCCCGACTTGTGGACCTACTAGGACCTAGACCTTGATAAGGGTTCACGGCTTTACCTGAACATGCTTGAACACCGGCATTATTTGATTGTTAACCGATTTTCAGACAGACTTTCATCACACCGAACATAATTTTGGATGTTCGCCATATTTTCTTCAGTGGTGAACGAAGATCATGGGACAATCATCCCAGATGGATTCATGTGGATGTGTTGATCAGAGAAAACTGTTACGCTCTGGTAATTTAACATAGCTATTGAACATGGCCATTTATAGTGAGTTTTCCCATTAAAAATGGTGATTTTCCATAGCTATGCAAACGTTTACCAGAGGGTAAACTGCTGCCCATTTCGGCTGAAGACTGACCTCTCCTCCTGCCGGTGGAAAAAGCCGGACTGGAAGGAGGCGGTTGTGGGAGCAGTTGGGAGCTGTATTGCCTGCCCCAAAAAATGGGGACCTCCAGTACAATGGCCATATTTACAGGGAAAATGAATGAAGATGATGATAACCCCCCGGATTTTGAGGTTTTCATTCAGACTTTCCCGACCACATAAATAGTTTCAAGGTCCATTTTTTGGTGGAGTCCCTGCAACATTTCAGGTTGTAAACATGGATCAATGTCCATGAATCAGCCTGTTCACACCCTAGGATCAATTTCGTTTCTTTGAAGCTCCGGTATGGGAGGTTGACCGACACCTTGAGATTCAAGAGATCTCTGCTTGGTGGTTTCATAAATATCTGTCTTCCATCCCTAAAAATTCCTGACTGGGATGATCATCCCCAAGTAGCGCCCCTGTGTTTTTCAGGCCCCAACAGAAACCAGTGATGGTTTAAACTGTACCAGCATTGTCATCACTATGATTCATATCCCATATCATTGTTTTTTTCCTATCATATTCATATCACCTGTTTTTGATCGTAATACCCCCATTTTGAATCAAGAACATAAAGCATTGATGGCCCTCTGCAGTGAAGATGAGGATTCATATCTACAAGCCCACTATTGACGGTCAATATTGCCCACAAATTCCCATTGCAACAGCCATTGTTGATGTATTTTACTAGCCATGGTTGTTATTCTCTGTCGACGCTGTTCAGTAGTTTTATCCCCATGCTATCCTTGTTCTTGTTCTTGCTCTTGGTTGCTGTTGGTTGTTGGTTGTTGGTTGTTGGTGGTTGGTTGGTTGGTTGGCTGGCAGGCAGGCAGGCTGGCTGGCTGGCTGGTTGGTTGGTTGGTTGGTTGTTGTGGTGGTGGTTGTTGTTGTTCCTGTTCTTGTTCTTCTTGTTGTTGTTGTTGTTTGTTTGTTTTCTTTTAACATGTCTGTCCTATTCTGTCCTTCCGGCGAAGATGATCCGGACCGACGATCATTTTTTTTTGGGGGGGAGACCTGGGAAACCAGTATCCCATTGAGTCTCCAGATTGTTTGTTAGCCCTAATGCTTTCTTTAGGAATATTTATTGCACAACCTGGTCTCTTATTTTGAGTTTTTTCTAAAATGGGGGCACGTCCAAATCATCCATATAAATAGGAGTTTCTGTAAACCATCCATTTTGTGATAGCCCCATTTTAGAAGCCACCCATGTGGTAATAGCAATGGTAATAGCAATGTCCCAGTCATATCCCCTGATGGCTCACCATCGCAGGATGGCCGCAATGAAGTCGTCCCTTAGGACCTTAGTGTCCCTGGCAGCCGTCGGGATCCCTGGAGGATTTTCCGCCGATGTACACATTTCGTGGGAAAAGATGGTGATGTTGACATGTGAAACATGTTTTTTTTTGGGAACTATCAACCATAACGAACCATTATCCATAGGATACATGGGAGAATCTGATTAGTCTATGAACTGGCAACCACGGATGTTTTTTTGGGTGGCAACGAGGTGGCTACCTTGGTCGATGCCAACCGAATCAGGAGACCGGGCGGTCTTAGATAAGTCACAGTTTTAAAGACCAAACAAGAAGCGGCATGGATTTTTTATGAACTAAACCAGGAAAAGACAATTTGACAAAGCGTCATAGATATATAGATATATATATAGACATGGTGCATTTTTCCATCACTTTCCCACTACTCCATGAGGAAAAACAGATCAAATTCCGTGTTTCTAAGTAGAGTGGATGAGTTGTTGGTACTCGTACCGGTTGAACCAAATCCTCAGTTCGCACAGGAGGCGTGGTACGGTGCAGTGCCCTGTGGGTGGTGGGTCCCAACCTGAGTTGCTTGAACTTCAAACGGTTGAAGGATGCCGGTAATCAAACGTGGCAACGGACACCCATCATGTATAGATGATCTTCGCCATAAACGTCCATTCCGATGATTGAACGATTCTCAAGACTGGTTGAAAAGATTGTTGAACAATGGTTATATGTGGATATTTCATGATAGTATAAGCCATTTTTATGCATAGTACCATGGTTTGAAGACAATTTGCACAGTGAACAATGGCATTTTAGACACATCAACCTTTTCAACGGACAGATCTCCCGAGGTGCCACTGCAACTGCCAGAGTGCCAGCGCTATGCCGGCGCCCATGATCCCTGGGATTCCCAACAGAATGGTGCCCGGAATGCCTGGGATGCTGCTTGGCTGGAAAACTCCATAGAAATCCATAGGGAATCGGATGATTCACCAGGGGATGGAATGATGGAATGGCCAAATGGCTGAGGTGTAAACTGTTTACCAATGGGAACGGGTTCGATTTCTCGGGGAATAGGGAATCTTTTCTGTATCTTTTTGGTGCCAGCAAATCCACGTCTTAATTGGCTGCTTCGAACATCAAACGGATATGGGTGAGAAATAGTGGGAATGAATTACAACTTCCTAACATTTATTGGTCCCAACTGTTTTTGATGGCAACTGCCAAGACTGTCTGTGCTTCCCCAAAAATCTCTCGACCTGCAAATGGCAAGGCCGCAGAAGGTTAAGTTGTCAAGTGCACTAAGAAATTTCAGATCAAGATGGTAAGGCGGCGCACATCCCTTGTGGTAATATATATATATATAGTGAGATAGCAGATCTCTCCAATGATTATCATATCACCCATGGAAAATCCACCCTTGATGTCCCCTTATTGACGATTTGGCCTTGGAAGACGAGGGCTTCATGTTGCCAGCTAGGTACGATGGGTAGCGATCAAATTTCGGTATAGTCAGCCCGACAAAGAGGCCGAAACGTAAATTATCACTGTTTCAGTTGGAATTTACTTTTCTTTCTTTTTGGAAATAATTATAGATGATTTCATATTGAAAAGATCACCAACATTTGCAGTTGGGTCCAAGTACTTCAACGATGCCCACATCTTAGCACTGGATTGAGGGAAAATCGATAAGGACATGCCTATATGCCGATGATGGAGAAACGGGGGGAACTTCCTGCAAACATTTCACAAGCCATAAGAAAACACTATGATAGTACCCCCCAAAGAGATGGAAACCATCTTTTGTCACTGGTTTAGAATCGGAATTTACTTTTCTTTTTGCCTCTAAACTTGGAGGTTGCCAAAAAAAACAGTGTGGTAGACCAATGATAAACCCCAATTGGTTCTGAAAATACCCCCAAATCCAATACTGTAACTGTCATTGTTCCCATGAAAACATTATGACATTGCCCTTCATTGGGGTCCAATTGGGGATATGGTTCATGATTTATCCCATGAAATCCCAGTGAAAACACCATCCGCATCCCTCCGGCCATCAAACGTTTGATTCCCAGAGGCTAAAGCTTCCATTTTTATCCCATTCTTTCCATTGGATTTACCAATGTTTAATGGTCAATTGTCCCATAAATGAATTCCCATATCCTATTATATCAATATCAATAACACACACATATATATATATTATAGATATAGATATATCAATTATATCCCGTAAAACCTTATTTCCAGAGCTG